ACTAAACGAAAAATAGAACAGAGAGAGAGAGAGAGAGAGAGAGAGAGAGGGAGGGAGAGAGAGTGAAAGAGTAAGGAGGAAAGAGAAAAGTTGCAAAATCTTGATCAAATGACAATAACAATGATAACATGTCATTTTGATATAGATTTGGAAATTTATTATATAAACTTAGCAATAAACTTATCAGTAATTATCAGTAATGGAAAAATTTTGCAATTTTTCTCTTTCCTCCTTACTCTTTCACTCTCTCTTCCTCCCTCTCTCCCTCTCTCTGTTCATTTTTGTTTGATTTAAAACTTTTCAGTTCATCGTTTACCGCAAATTAAACTGTAATTTGAATAACTTCTAATGGGTATGCATAAAATATCTCATAAATCTTAAAAGATGAAAGAAAGCTGGAATGATTATATGATAACAACAATAATGATAACAATGATAATTAGCATCAATTCATTCTAGTCACCAAGCGAAAAAAAAAAGGAAAAGAAAAGAAAAGATTTGAAGGAAAAACTTAAAACTTGTGATTGATGTTTAATCACAAATGAAATAAACAGATGACTTCCAAAAAAATATAAGCTTATCATATCAGGTTAACAAAGCAGTTCCATCATATCAATAATAAACACATTTGATTTGAAAGAAATCATTCCTGCATAAATGTCATAGGTCATATAGTACAATTTCTTGGATTTTAAAAAGAATTCGATAGCATAAAGTTAAATTGAATGGAATTTTTTTCTTGAACTGTAACTAATTAATGACATTTTTGATGATTCTTGTAAAAATTAGTTAAATTTTAATTTAATATTTGCGAAATAAATTTGTTTACATCAATGAAAATTACTTTCCAATTCTGATCCAACAAATATCATAAATCTCATATGCTTACGTGAGGGATAACTACGAAATGTCTAGATGATAAGTGATAACTACGAAGTGTCTAGGTGATAAGGGATAACTACGAAGTGTCTAGGTGATATTTGATGATAGAGAATGTGAGAAATATTGGAAAAGTACTTTATCAATAAGTGATAGAAATGAAAAAGAAAACGAATTGGTGGAAAAGATAAGGGAAAGAAAGGTTATTGTCAGGTAATTTATAGATTAACCATTTGTCATTGTTGATGACCTTGTACAGGTATGAGTAGTTTAATGCCAATTAAAGATAACTCTTCCCGTTTTCTTTTCTTTTTCTTGTCACATAATAGTTTTAATGAGATTTTCGAAATTTCTATTTTTCTTTTTTAAACTTTACCCTTCTTCTTTTTTTTTTTTTGTTTTGTTTTATTTTGTTTTTGAAATGAGACAAACCCTTTCATTTTCATCAATTTTCTTTTCCAATTTATGATTTTCTTTGGAAGGTGAATTACTTTTTTGAAATTTTTTAAAGATTTCAAAAATTTCATTTAATAAATTACTCGAATTTGGGGAAGAAAATTACGCATAGCTAGAGTGAAATGTAAAAAAAGAAGCTAAATTTCACGATTTAAAAGGATTCTAGTAATAAAATTAGCATTCTTTATGATCATTTCTAAATAATTCATGGAATTATTTAAAATACAAATTTCAACTAACAATGCATTTATCTCAATTGGTCATTTGAAAAGTTGAAATTTAAACAAATGCATATAAAATTCAATTAATTTATAAATATTTATGATATTTAAATATTTTAATTTGCATAAATTCTTTTCGAATAGTCAAATATTTTGATAACTAAAGAATATTTAACCTTAAAATACTTGGGGAGCTTTTTTTTCCTCTTCTCAAAAGCAATTACTGAAATTGAGAAATGTTAAGCTATCCGACAAATTGACCTCTTATCAACTAAATTGATAAATTGATAAATTATATGTTATCAAACTGGAAGAGAATATAAAATTTTCATTGCTTCAAAATCCCATT